TAGGGTGTACTGAACTGAAAGCGGTGCCACACGCCGGCCTAGGGTTCCATTTCCTAAGAATACGAATAAGAACCACAGGTGCCTCGGGGTCCTCAAACGGAGAAGGGGCCAAACTCGTAAGGCGAAACCGATCCGACAGAGTGACGGCGTTCCGTGCATGACTGCGGCAACATGAAGTACCAAATCAATGAGGTTCTTGGCTTAGCCTCACGCCATGCAGAAAATTGGAAAATTTGCAGGTACGCAGTTGGACGTCTCCAACTGTATCACAGGTGACTGATGAGTGTCTTTGTTAGCACCGGTCTCATCAGCCCCTCCGGTGCCCCCTGCTGTACAACATAACGACAAAAGAGAAAACAATCCGAAAGGATCCCTATGATTCCAAGGGTTACACACACACAGCTTGCCAGCACTTGACAGCTTCTAGCAGCTTTACTCACTTAAACTGCAAGAGTCGGCAGGGTCAGGAAACGGTTGAATCTAGACTGCAAGAAGTTCTTAAAGCTGCAACGTCTGACTTTGGTCTCGACCTTGACAAACTACCGAGCCGCAGTGCTTCTGTGCCCTAGGTCACCCACGATAACAGCTTCGTGGTCATAGTTGGAGGCCTGATCACTTGCACTGGCACTCACAAGCTCAGTCAGCGAGACTACTTCACTGCTTCACGCAATTTGCAACTATATATGTACAGTATATATATATATATAGCGGCACCATATAAGGTCAGGCACGCTGGCTTGCTTGGTGGACGCTTCATGGGTCTCTTGGCATCGAAAAGAGATGACTGTATAGAAACAACATTAAGACTTCTTCGGTACATGCGTTGACAAACACGGTCAACACATGTCAACACCGACAGCTCCTAAACCACGTGCAAAGGCACCAAGCCAGTTGGGCCACGACCCCAATTGAACTCCGACCCTCCAGAGAGCAAATATAATGATAGAATATATGATAGAATAGTTCACTCTACAGTAGCAACTGTTGTTGGGAATGTGTTCCATTGGAGCCATCCTATGCGCAGATTTGAGATCCACATCCTGCTGCACTGAGCCTGCTCGTTTGGCTTGTAGCGCCCACCTGCAGTGCATGTCACCCTTGTGTGATCTGCCAGTTGCGTGACATTCAAAACTCTAAAGTGCCACAGTTCGCCCTAGGGTTTCTGCCGCTCAGGATCTGCACTAACATCAAACGCTCAGCCGCAATACCTGCCAAGCTCGGCCAGGAAAACATGTGTCGCAAATGAAATAAACCAAAAGATTAATATCAGGAGCAAGTCTTCTTGGCACAAATTGGAACCGGTCAGGCGCCCGCGCCCATTGTCTCTACACTGCGCAAGCGAGATTCCAGGCGCTTCCCCATGAGGAGCATCACACCACAATCCTCAGGTTTCAAGAATCTAAAATAAATGCAGTCATATACTGTAGCTCAAGCTGAAATCAAGACCCGAGATGTGGCTGCTCGTAGCAGGTGTGTTCTCACCCCAGGACATCCGACTTGCTTTTGTCACCGCAATTCTGCACAGATTGCCAATGATTCAGCCAATACCTTGGAACCAGGACGCGTGCATGCAGTTGGGAGGATGCCATGCCATTGCTTGTCAAAGTTGCGTGACTTCCACTTGTGAACCATCTGGAGGCTCCAGGCGCATCAGCAAAGCTGCAAGCAACTCCGGTGTCAACTCTTCGGGTTGCCCAACAATCCTCGCGTGCACAGGGTGTCTGACGAGCCTGCTCTGACTGACTGCCACAAGAAATTGCTCAAACATCTCAATTCAAGCGCACTGACATCGTAAAGCCTTGATTGGCTTGTTTGGCAACAAGTGCCTGCCAGCTCCTCATCTTGTTTGGATTCAATTTTGTCCGTTGTGCGACTGCCGACGCGAGCTCTACAAAGTACATGGTCCAACAACAGGCAAGTTGCTGCAAGCCGGCGTTCCTGAGCAATAGTTGGCACATGAATGAAAGGACACATAAAAACACGTTTGGAACATGTTTCTTGAACGGATACAAATTCCAGGGTTCGATAACAAGTTTGCCTCCCAAATGCGGACAAATGGCATGTAAAGGCGCCCATCAAAAAGAGGATCCAGCACAACAAGCGGCACCGTCCCGACCTGAAGGTTCCCCCTCCCCCTGTCCACAAGCGTCCCGAATTCACTTGAGCCACGCAACGACAATTCAACTTATGGTGCAGCTGATGGCAAAATGCGCATGTATAACAGGTTCGTGTCCTGCGTTGCAAACTTGTCTAAACGAAAACACCCCACAAACCAAATGAAAATGCACGTTTCAGAGATACCACCCACTACCATGACTTTTTCTATGGCTCCGACTTTTTGTGCATCTTGAAACGGTTTACTAACACTGTCCGATGAAAGCTGAACTTTTTTGACACGTCAACTTCTTTTTGACCTGGGAGCCTTGCGGGCCCCAGGCTCAAGTATTGGGGTCTGCTCGTAAAGGCCCGCAAAGGCGAATTGAGTACGGACACTTTTCAGATGTTTGTTTTTCTTGGGAGGGGTAGGCCACCAGTAGAGGTGAGGTAATAGTAGCTAGAGGTAGGCAGCTGTATAGTAGAAGCAAATGGTAGCTAAGCAGCTAGTAGCTTAAGTAGCTACTACATGTGGACGCAGGATAGCTCGGCGGGGGGAGCTTCCTTTTTTTTTGGCTCTCATGCCGTACGACGAGGTCTCGGCGGCCCTAGAGCATTCCGCGTCTAGGGCCAGATTGCCAACAGAAGTACAAACAGAGACTCACAGCAGTGAGTCGAAAGTGAAAGCCCAAGAGGAAGGGGTGGCTTTCGCACCCTTCTCAAAGGCCCGTGCCAGCATCTCCAACGGACCATTACCCAGGAAGGCTTCCGTGCCGAAAAAGGCACCTTTAGGATATGTCTTGCCGTTACATTTGTTGCCCTTCTGAAGAAGAGAAGGGGCAATCACGATCTGTCGGCCTTTGCAGTATGTGATGGCTGCACGCACAATGGCCGCATAAGCTTGAACTGTACAAACTGTCCCAACCGGAAGTACAAAGCGAAAGCCTTGATGGAAGGCCAAAACAGCAAGCTCAAACACGGAACAGGCGAGACCATCACCAACCCGCCAAGTCAGTGTATTGCTGAACTGAAGGAAGATACGAAAGTTCGCTTCAGTCAGGACTTTGGTGCCTGAGTAGGCCAACTGCTCATCGTTTGGGAAAACCCATGTGTACTGGTCAGCAGGAGTGTCCCATGGCCAGCGTGGACATAGTTGACGAAGAGGAATACGTGGTGCAGGAGCACACACAGCATCAACCACTGGCACAGCAGGGGTGTCCGGTTTCCGACAAGCCCGATTAAGTTTGGCCAGCCACAACTGTCGCGCATAAATATCCACCTCTTTGACTTGCAGCTCAGCCTTGATCTTCCCAGCCTGTGTATGAATTTGTTGCTTGGCATATCGGTCTGCCAGGCGATTCAGGACAATATCCCGAACGCTTGAACCCACTCTGGCAGCTTCTTCATCAGTCACACATTCTGCGGGGAGATGTTCAAGCAAGTGCGATGGACACCACACGAGTTGCAGAGGGCATTCACAAAAGCAGCGTCGTTGATGGAGGAGGGCATGCAGAAATCCCCACCAGTTAGAGTGGGTCCAATCAATTTGAACTGTTCCGAACCGAAGAAGGTCATGGAATTGGTTCACAACAGTGAGCGAGTCAGTGTGTATGACAATGGGACCTTCGGCAATAGCAAAGGCAGCTAAGATCGCCCAGAGTTCAGCACTGTAGCTTGAAAGCCGCCAATGACGGACCAGTCCTGCACTAAACAGGGATTCATCCTCAGACTGCATAGGAGGCAACAGTCAACCATGGGTGGTTAGACAATTGAACAGACCCATCTGTCCATAAATGTTGCACAGCTGGCCCTGGAATACACCATGCGTGAACCTGTAAATCAGCAGGCTGAGACACTTGAAGTTTCTCATGAATGGTGTCAAACGGGGTCTCAGCAATACCCAACTGAGCAAAGTTCGGACCAAAAAAAGGATGACGAGGGTTGTCGAAGATCGGCAGGCAGAGCTGTACACTCCTCCACAAAGTGTGCAACTGATTCTTTGGCGGCTCCGCAGAATCGGCATTGCGCAGACTCCATGAGCCCAGAGGCAGCCAGACGATCAGCTGTAAGGGTGCACCCTGTGACCGCACTCTCCCAATGAAATAAGAAGGAAAACTTCTCATTCGGAATGCCCAGCATCTTCTTCTTGGCCGAAAGCGTAAGGTTGAGATCCAGAAAGCCTTGTGCTTGATGGATGTCTTTCCTTCGCATCAAACTCGCAGTGATGTAGCACTTGTGGGCCGCAACACTTTTAAGGATACATTTGAGGTCCGTGAGAGAGAATTCAAGGATGCAGACCTCTGGTGCACGTAAAAGTGAGATACCAAATGGGCTGCACCAGTCAATATCCAGGATATGACAGGCTTGCGCAAACTGCATCATCCAGGATTGAGGTGTAAATTGATCTTGTTCATAAATCGCTTGCCAAGATTGCCGAGCAAATTGAGAGGTGCGCAGGAACCGTACAGATTCAATGATGGTCGCGACGGCACGGAACAGGAAGGGGTCCAATTTGTGTGCCCTGTGGACAACGCAGAGGAGAGATGCTTAGAGCGCCACTTCGGTCTGTCCTGCCATATAGCGTCTGCTACGGCACTCTGCAGTCTGGCGAGAAGTCGAGAAGTCTCTTCGGAAGGAAGTTCAACTGCGGAGCAAATGCTACCTGAGGAAGAACCTTGGTGGACAAGATCTGTGCCCGTTTATAACCATCACATGGCAGGGCACGAATGGCCTCGCAGTCCCGCAGTGCAGCTTGCAGCTTTGTAAGCGGGAAGCACCCAACATTCTTCCGTGTAGTTTGAACATGAGCTCCAAGAATGTTAACCACCTCAACCAGTCGCATTTGTGGAAACGCAGTCTTCAAAGCTCTCCTCATGTCAGCTGTAGTTGCAAAGATCTCACATTTCCCTGCGTTAAGAAACTGCCCGCAAAGAGAATCCCAGAGTTCTGTGGCTCGGACTGCAGCAACCAAATTGGTGATGGAGGGCAGCCGAGTCCAAAGGTACGTGTCGTCGATGAAGGCCCTGAAGTCGACTCCATCAATATTACACACAATCCAGGCCCAGATCGCCATATGGGTGTTTATGCACAGCAAGCTGAGGGAACATCCTTGCACAACGCCATTTGGTGTGGAGATTGGCTGCTCCCTGGTCCATTGTTTGAATGACAGGAAGCGAGTCATTCTTGTGTAAAGCGCCAGGAAGCCACACACGAAGCTCTTGGGAAGGCCCAGAGCGAGCATAATCGCAGCACAGAGCTTGGGCATCAAGCGGTCAAAGCACTTAGCCTTGTCAAGCTTGAGGGCAGCAAAGGATCCATGGAATGTGTGCGCACGGTCAATCTCCAATTGCATGGTCATATGCACTTCAGACATCAGCCTGCCTTTGATTCCCCCTTTAAGTTGCGGTGGCATAATTTCTTGTTGCCATGCCTGCAGCTGAAGAAAGCGTAGCCCCGTATAAAGGAGGGTGAAAACGGATTGCAAAGAGATGAGCCGCTTGGAAAGTGGTACGGTACATCACTGTCATCCTTGTTGTGAACGACCATGCGCACCTGCGTCAGTATCGTAGGAAACTCCAGGGTGCCAGCTTCAATGCTATTAAAGAGCATGGCAACAGGGCGAAAAGCTGCAGGTGGCAGTGCCTGGACTTCACGAGTCTGCCAAGCATCAAGACCTGCAGCAGCGTCAGGTCGCCTTCTGGCAGCCTGTTGCCAAAGTTGGTTTTGTGTGATGGGAGGCAGAGCAATTGCACGTCCCTTGTCATGAATATAGGGCCAAACCTGCTTGAGAATGTGCATCTCATGTGTATGTTCAGCATTCACCCCAAAGACAGAGTCCCATCTATCCGCAATGAAGTCCATAGCCTTCTGAGCGTCATAGATGATGTTCCCATCATCATCTTCCACCAGATTCGGCGGGACAACCCTGCCCTTCTTCTTAAGGTACTGGTATACAATCTTGCCAATCGTAGGCGAGGAGGTGGCATGCTTCATAGCAGTCCGCCAGCGCTGTATGGCCACGAGTTTAATCTGCTCCATTTCAGCCTGGCTGGCCTGCAAGACAACCTCAATAAGGTGTGGCACATCATGAGCAAAGATCTGCCGGGCACCAATTTGGCAACTTTAAGCTTCCTCAAAAGACGATGTTGCGTATTGCGAAAAGTTCTCAAATCACCCGGCCCAGATGGAGTCCTGTTGAACCGAACTTCAAGCTCTCTCAGAGATCTGACAATTGATTGTAGGGAGAGGAGGTGAGGGGAGGCCAGGTTGCCATTGGCCTCCTGAGTGGCAGAGCCTTGAACCTTGGTGAACTTTGGAAGGGAACCACGGTGGTGTGCAACTTTCCCCCACTTTGCACCATTGAGGACCAGCAGTTTTGTAGCATAATCATTATAGATAGCCCACTTGGTGTCAGCATCGACTGCTTGATCAAATTGTGGGGCATAGTGATGCCAGAGTTGCTCACTGAAGAAGTTTACCGGGCATCCTGGATCTGTTGGGTCAGCATGTTGCACATCATCAAGGAGGAGTGTCGCTGGCCGCTGCATGACGGTGCCAGTCTGTAGAACCCTATCCCACAGGAAGGTTGCTTTGACTGGTCTGTGTTGTCTGTCACGATGGTCCAGCACCTCAACATGGAGAAGTGCAGTGAGTGCAGTACGGTTCATGAGGATGCCATCGATAGATGACTGGCCGTCTCCATCACCTGCGGCAGCACTCTGAAAGAAAGTGTTCGGTCGCACCACATCACCATGAGCATCTGTGTGAAGAAGGGGGTCCGACCATCCCCAATATGGTCCAAGGCCAATTGCACTGCCGGATACATCCCCGGTTCCTTTTGAAAGTCTCCAGCCACCACGGTGGGCACATCACCGAATTTAGCTGCAACAGCAAAGATGGTGCTTAGAAGTTCATTATTCCGAACAAACTTGGACCTTTCAGAGGCCGCATTGGCGATGGCGTAGAAGTTAAAGACAAGGAGCTTGACACTGTCTGCCACCTGGTGCCACGTGGCCGTGACAC